AGGATGATGGTCCACCAACACAGAAAAACACAGAACAGTACTTATAATATTGGAATATTCCACCAGACACATTTCTGAAACTGAAGAGGACTCAGAACTCTTATTAAAGTGTTGACTAAGGCCCATGGGAATAGCAGACATATCCATCACCTCTGACAGTAGAAACTTAAAACATACTTTAGTTTTAACATATTTAACATGAGGTAAATATTTTAGAAGTATTTATTTTCCCATTTCTCTGCCTACATATCATATTTTTTTTAACCAGCTAATAACAGAAAATCTAAGTCTTTATGTTTTTCTAAGGTGATAAAAGATATCCATGTGGAAAAATGAGAGAGGTTGTGTAGGTGAAAAATAGATGGACTGAAGAATAATTTGCAATGAAGACTGAAAAGAGGGACGTGCAATTCCACTAAGAGCTTCCTTGCATCTGTTTTAGGTGCTGCAGTACCTCACAAGCTTCCGCAAGTAAAGTGAACACAGCTGACGGAAGTTACGAGTCTTCTGCTCTGCTTTAAGGGTATACATCACACATCAGGATATTCAAATAAAAGTGTGAAGTCTGGTAAGAGAACCCATCTCAAACAATGGACTTGTAGCTAGTGGGCTATGGATCTGCTTCTCTTCCTTCTAATTATTATTGAGCTTTTGCCAGAAGAGCTTTATCAAGAACCACCTTCTTGATAAACTCAGTTATTTTTCTTCAAGGTTTGTTTGTATTTCACATATAGGAGGATTTGCCTCCATGTTTGTAAATTCACCACCTGTGCACCTGGTAACAACAGAGCTCAGCAGCCAACCTTAGGGCCCCTAGAACTGGAGCTACTGACAACTGTGAACATAGGTGCTGGGAATCAAGAGCACTCTGAACAGCTGAGCCCTCTCTCCAGCCATTAAGAAACTCAGTTTGTAAAAAAGTTTGAGGAGCTAGACAAGGTGGTGTGTGCCTTTAATCCCAGCAATTTGAACAGAGATATCTGTAAATTCACTGACTGCTAGGTCCATATAATGAACTCCAAGCAAGGTAGAGCTACACCATGAGGGCCTGTCTCAAAAGGAAACAGGAAATTTGAAAGAAATTTGCTAGAAATAAAAAGGAACTAAAAGAGTACAACCTAATCTTTTACAGGGTTTGAGGCCTGACAATTCGTTTCCTCAAAGCAATGAGCACCTAAAATTGGAGTAAAATTTGACCACGGGCCCATGTGAGCTACACTCTTCCCTAAATTAGGGAAGCTCATAGCCAAAAGCTGAAAGCAGCTGATGCTATTTGAGCCCCTGGATCTCATAGAGAGCCTTCATCTGTACAGATTCTTAATCCAGAAGGAGGAAAATTATAATAGCACATGCGAAAATCTGTGGCACACTCCCCTTTATTCTGAAAAAATACAATGAAAGCCCATGGGTTGAGCAATAAGCTAAGAACTACAAATAAAATTCTTATATATGCTCTGGTTTAGGATGGAGCCAATGCTTCTGCAGAGGTTATATACATAAGTGGATGTGTATCTGTATACATCTGCTGTATATCTAGGGATGGTGGTCATGCACCAAGAGTAACAAGTACAGAGGCTGAGCAGGAGAGAGTCTGAAAACCCCAAGGTTTACTTTGTCAACACAGTGAGAACCAGGCCAACTGAAGTTACATAGCAAGACCATCACTAAAATATAAATAAACGGTGAATAATAAAGTGCCTGTACCTTTGGCATTCCGAGGTGACATGGGGAGTTAAAACCTGGGCAAAGAAGCTCCTACAAGTGGGACGCTGCCTAAAGTAATTGCTTTACATGCTCCAGACGAGGCACTCCACATGTCCTAGCTGTATGTGCTCACTTGGCCAATGAGTGCAGCACATACACTGAATTTTAGAAGGCAACTGACTAATAAACAAAAATCTGTGTGGTGCTCTACACAGCACTTACTGGCTAGTGGACAGAAACAAATCATCAGAGTCGACTTGTGTTAGCTCCCGAACACAGGACCATGGTGTAACTGCCTGAAAAACTGGCTCCTTGAATAGCTAATTCTTTTCTCTTCTCTGTCTTCTGATCCAAGACATTCCCCCCTCTCATTCCTTGAATAAAGATTTCTCCTCTAATAACATAATATTTTGAATTTTTATCTTAAATATTCGGCAGTTGAAATTGCATTCCTGTAATTATAATTATAACTAATAGACCTTCCATTTCCCATGTCATAATTAATGTCAGGTTTTATTAGAGCACAATCATGCTGTCTTTTCTCTTTGAAGACATCTTTTATTGTCACAACATTTATAGTACATTGAATTAACCAATAAAGTGCCCTAGAGTCCCTCTGAAGGGTAACTTCCTATCACAAATTCTAGTTTACTTGCTGAGAAAACCTCGCTGCTTGTGTTGCTTAAAAATCACATGTGATGTGTTTCCTGATGTGCTACTGGTTCAAACCCAACAGGAAAAAGAGAGAGTGGTGATTCAATGATAAATACATTAGAGTTCCTAAAGGGTTGTTTAATGTGCTCTTGGGAAAGATGAATGAGCTAATGACAACAAACCGAATATCCAGAGATCACCCCTGTTGGTTGCAACATACGACATACGCAACGGATCAACTTCATACCAGCAAAATGCACTTTGATACCAACAGATTAGTGATTTTTTTCTAAATCATATCCCAAAGTGCTTTCTTTTAAATTACACTCAACAGTCCAATCTTTATTGTGTAACTATTCAAATGAAGCTGAACCTTACAGGCAAAACTGAAATTAGAATTAAGAAATGTGTACAACTGTGTCGATTTAAAATGTAATGGGGTAGCATGAAACTAATGGCTTCTCAGAAGTTAAGTAGCACTTTATAAGTCAACTGCAAGATACAAGGCACACCTAGGAGAGACACCCACAGTTATGACATGGTGCTGGAACTTACATGGACCTTATGAGGGGCAAACATTGTGCTTGTGAGGCACACACAGTGGCCAACTAACATCCACACTGTATTTGACCCACAGGTACTGCTGTTATCTCTTACAGACCCACCCATTAATGTTTTGCTTCATTAGAATCATTAAATCTCTTCCTGCTTGGTCACATGGTGTAAATGATCAATTCCACCCTATACATACATGTGTTTTTAATATAAACATCAGGAGACACATGTGGAACAAATCACAGAAGGTTTGATGATTCTCATTTGGGGCACTATAGATTTAAAAACACATAGCAAAAACACAAAATTTTCAACATATTGCACAAGTCCCATTGATTGGCTATTTGAGCTAATTTATATAATTTCCATCTGTACCTTTCTAAAATTCAGTGATGAATTCAACTGTACTGTAGCAAATGAAATACAGTGAGAGATAAGCTTAATAGCAGTTAAGAGAATTTTATATTCATGGACAGAAAATGTTTCCTACCTGCAGTAAAGTCCATTGGCTTGCCAAGTATTTAATTATGGAGCTCCAATGGCAGATGTGAAACATCTCTAAACTCAAATCACTAGGAAGAATTTCAAGTTCCCAAGATGCCCGCCCTCACTCAACAGGCAATTTTTCTAAATTGTAAACCATACAAAATAGATATCTATTCTTTTTTCTTCTTTGGAAACATATCTGGAAAACAATCCAAAAGTCCAGATCAAATTTAGCTATCAATAAAGCCTCTTAGTTCTGGAACAGAGTGGAGCCAATGTTTCTACCAAGACTATCCCACCTACCTTCTTACTGTCCCTCAACCTAATGTTTCCCCAGACTTAGAAGGCTTGACAGACAGACTTAAGGAACCTTCTCGTTCTGATCCTATGCCCTCTTAACCAGCTAGCCCTGGGAGATCCTCTGAACCTAGATGGGGTCCCAAACAGATGCTCTGCCCTCAAGAAACCAAGCCTGGGATGAATCTACTCAAGACCTAGGGGGGTCAGTTGGACAGGTAACTCAGTGTTATTGGGAAATTACTGTGTTTTCAGGATGCTGAGGCATGCTTTAGAGTGCCCTCAGCCGTTTATCTTCCTGTCCTTTGAGGATAGAGGATGAGGGAGAACCTCTAAGTCACAGGGCTGCCTTGTGTTACACTCTGAGGGACATTCACATTTATTCAACTTAAAACCTGGAAGCAGTTTTCTGTCCCCCTGAGCAGAACTGAGCAGTTATTAGCAGGGGTGCAATAGTTCTTTCATAAAGGATGCCCATACCCTTGCATCCAGGTGGAAGGAAATTGCAGCGTACTCAAGTATCTCCACATCTAACAACTACAATAATGTTAGTAATAAAAATTTACAGGTGTGTGGTGTCCTCCTTATAAAAATTACACTTTACTTCACATGTTCTTTCAAAATACCTAGAAATATAAAAAGTTTATATCCTAATTTCAGAGATGGATAGCAGGAAAAACTCAATAGAGATAAGTTTAGGTAAGTGTTTGAGTTTTAAAATTAAATGTTGGTCAAATTTGGGAGTAACATTTAAAATCAATTTTAAGCTTCTTTTAACTTCAGGATGACCACTTTCATCTGAAACATGATATGTAGAATTTTCTAGCTCTCTAAGACAAAGCTAAACCCCATGAAAGAAGCTTAAATCTGCTTTTCTTAAATGTTCCCTTTCTAGGTAAGAATTCTTACTTTAGGCCCACTGGAGTATTGACCCCAACAATTTTTTTAAGTTACCAAATATAAATGCCTACCATAAAAGACTATTACTTTGTAAGCATTGTTTCTAAATAACGCTAACATAGAAAAGAAAAACACAGGACCAAGAAGGAAATTATAATTTGCTACTCTAGGTTGAGTATGTGGCATTTTATACATTGTACTCTCTTTGAACTGGTTTCATTTTCAGACATAATTTTGATCACTATCACATGACTAAGTCATTTGATAACCATATGGGATAAAAATCAGAAAGATGCCACTTACAAATCAATGGTCAGAAGCCGCCCAGTCTGACAACACTAATCAAATCAACAAGGGAGGAGAGAAGATGGTTTACATATAGTTCCATCCGAGGATAGGCCTACCTGAATCATATGCAAAATCTCTGGGTTCCTGTTTGATCATCAAAGGAGGGGGGAAGCTTTGGCTGGCTGCACCTCCAACCATGGTGTTGTGTTCATAGACTGGGTCGTGGTATTCCTGCTTAAAGCCTTGTGGTGGGAAGGGGATGTTTGGCTCAGACATCTGGCGTTGGTACATAGGACGCCCTTCCCTTGGCAATGTCGGCAGAGGAGGAAAAGAATTACAGGGTTCAGAAAGCTGGCGACGAAACCTGGAGAAGAGAGGAGTGTTTCAGATGAGATGGTAACACAGAACTGCTTTAAAGGACGGATATGATGCCTAACTGCAGGAGTTTAATACCAGCCGGCCCAATGTGCACAGGTCTAAGGAACCTGAGAATTCTCCTTCTTAGAACCGTAGTGCTATGGCTTTTAAATCGCATGATGACGTGTGCTCCCCTTTTTACCATCCATTGCGAACACTTCAGCAGATGATGCAATTAAAGGTGTACTGCCAGTAGCTGTAGAACAATGAACTGTTTTGAATAAATATGGGCCCTAACAGCTAAAATGACCAATTTTAAGCTAATTGGATCATTTACATAACTTCTGGAAGAAAAGGTTCTCAAATACTTACATACAAGAAAAAGCAGGAACAACAGGATCTGATCTCAAATGGCATTCTTTCTCTTTAGAGTCTGTCACCAAACTAATCAGCAGCCAGACAAAAACCTATTTACTGGCTTTCCTTCCACAGCCGTCAGTAATACAGGAAGCATGAGAAGACTGAATCTTCTCAAAATCAGCATGCCCTTAAATTCTTCAGCAGTTAAATTAACAACATGTTCTTGTAGCAAATTTTGGCATTCTGGGGTTTATGTTTCTTTTTCTAAAGACTACCTCTGTCCTGTCAAACAGCACCACAGGACACACACCTGCTTTCACAAGCTCCAAACTATTAAGCCTATGTACACAGTCGGCCACCGAAGACGATGATACTAATATAAAGAGGATGCATAGGTCTGGGGTCAGCCAGGCAGGCTGGGAGAGTGTCAGGATGTTCGAGGGTCTAGGCCAAGAGCACAGGTGAGGCCCATGCTCCTTCATTCTTGGTAACGATTGGCTCATCACATAATTGTGTATCTCATCTGTAATTTCATTGACCCATCACAAAAATGTGAACTAATTAAAGATTTAAAGGTGCTCTAAAAATGCTCGAGTGCTTAAAAAATAACCTATAAAACATATCCATAAGCAAATATTAGCCTATTAACCCCCCCACACACACTAAAACATTCCTGAACCTTTAATTTTGAAAGTTAGCATTTAATTTCAGCAATGTTAAATGAAAATAAGGTAAAAGCCAAGGCATGGCAAAGCAATTGCTTTAGCATTTCGAAGCATGCTCCATGCCAGGGCTTAACTCTAGGTATACCAGTCTCTTCCATGGAAAGCATGGAAATTCCACTTACACCTGCACAAAATAAACTTAGAAACTCGGATATTGTGAAACAGCTAGGCTGGCTGGCGCTGCATTCATTTCCCTTCTCTTGCTTATTTCATTAGCCAAAAAAAGAAACAGAAATTATCATTAAGAACTGTCAAGGAGTGAATCAGAAAATTGTAACTTGAAGATAAAATAAGAAGCTGGCTCACTTGTGAAGCCTTAAAAGGAAGCTAATAATGCCTGCTCTGAAAGCTTTGTAAGGAAGCAAGTCATTTGCTTTTACGAGTCAACCTGATTTGTACTTCTTCTTGCTGGAGGCCACTTATGTGGCAGTGACAAGCTGCCCAGCAAGATGCACGGTCTCGGCGTCATTCTGGTTAGCCACTGAACAATGGGAAAGGGAAAGAAATGGACAAAAGAGTTTGGTGGCCGAGGACAGTGTGTTAATGCACCCGTGGGTAAAAAGAATCCAGGTAGGCATTTGGGGCACCGCTGAGGAAAACAGACAGGTCTCTTGCACAGTGGGTTAAAGACAAGGTGCCAAAGGGCTGGCCTGAGGTGTGCAGGGAGGCCGAGGGAAGGAAGTGGAGCGCAGGCCAGCTGGCCACAAACCATTCCCAGAGTGAGGTGGGGTGCCGAGGCTGGGGGTGGCTATCTGGGGGAGGGATCTGTTCCCAGAGCAAATTTGCCATTTATAACCAAGGGACTGCCATTTGTTGGCCAGAGCCCTCTAAGAAATCCTCATCAGAAACATAAGGTTTCAGAGATTTTCCTGGGACTGGCCAGCTGGTGCGATCCTCAAAACTCAGTCGGGGGGCAGTGGGAAAAGACCCCGAGCTTCCCTCCTGTAGTTCCGGGGCCGGCTGTTCTCAGTCTCAAGTACTTGACTTCAAGTTGAGATACCAAAATGGATTTGGCTAAAGCATCTCCAGTTAGGTCATCTAAAAACAAGCACACCACTTACTCAGCAGTCACCGTGCCTTACAAAGAGCCAGCCTGCGCCTGTGCGGAAGGCAACACGGCATAACCCATAATCCAGTGCTCATTTGAATTGCGGGTTGGGGACGGGAGAGGGGGGTATATGTGTGACAAATTAGGGAAGGCTGCAGAAGTGCAGGAAAGCAACCTCGATAGTGTTTTATCTCCCCTGCTTTTTCTTTTCTGGTCCTGCGCAATGTGCTTCTGTTTAATGGCCCACCCTGCAATAGGCGTTCTTTCCTTCGGTATTTTCAAAACTGTTTACACAGAAGCAGGCAACATTCTACTCTAAAGGAGCCTCAAGTCTATGGGGGTGAGAAGGGAGAGACAATAGGTGGCATTCAGTAGCTAAAGCATGGCAGAACTGGGTGATGGGAACAAAGGTAGAAGATGACTCAGTTCACGGGGAAAACTAGGATTTCATCCTATTCCTTTAAAGCAAGGAGGGACTGGATTTGTGGCTGTGACGTAAAGCGCATCTTTATGTATCCAGATTTGACTGTGGCACACCTGCTTCCTCTGCTACCCAGGTGTCCTTTCGACCAGCTACTTCCACAGTGATGTTTCTCCGCCAGCTATGGTTGTAGCTCATGTATAATGCTTGGCATTTCGGGGAGTCTGATTGTTTATGTAATCCTATATTAAGAATTTAATTATACAACTTTTCAATTAAAAGGCAGATTGAAAACAGAAAGGCAATAGAAACTGTGCTCTCTGAGTCCCCTAATGATTTCCTCCTCCTGCTTGTGGTCTTGGACAAATGCAGGCTACACACGCCGCACAATGTCTCCTCAGTTCAGACTCAGGGTTCTCGTGGAGATAGTCACACACGCGGCCGCATTTTGTCATCAGCCCAGTGCACACTTCAGATAAAGTCTTTTTCTCCCGTGGAGACTATTGTTAAAGATTTTTCAGGACAACGCTGGTTATGGGGGTAGGGGAGAAGAGGGAGGAATAGAAACTTAGCTGAGTAGCGAGACCTGTGTTCTAAATCACATATTAAGACAGTAGTTTCCCCAGTATTGTACTGATAACGGGGATTCCATCTCTACCAGTCAGTGACTTTCTACCTCAGCCCTCTCACTCATGCCACACGCGTGTTCTTCCCGTGTTCATTTCTAAGTGAGAATCGTTTGACTGCTGTTGTAGCTGTTGAAGCACATGTCATGAGTGTGCTGATATTGGTCATTGGAAAGGAAAGCGAAGAGATTAATCAAATAAGTTATACTCCGTAAGACTATGTAGGACCAAATAATTCAGTGTAAGATAATGAATCTAATTTCATAAGTCACCTACTAAAATGAGCCTGCTAACTGTGGGGAGCAAGTGCACGCGCGTGCTCACCTGTTAACTGTGGGGAGCAACATGCGTGTGCTCAGGGAGAAGCATGGCTGGACGTGAAGATGAAGTGAAGCGATTTAAAAGGTGAAGGAAAAATGTTCAAATGTCAATCTACAGGTTGATTTTCCATTTTAGTAGCCCCTTTAAATGTTTATAAAAAGAAATGTTTGCAAATGATCCCCATGAATTATTTTTAGACAGACAGAGCCTACTGGAACTATTCCGTAGAGATGTGCAAAAGTAATAGTCTTGTCTAAAAACACTGTAGATCTTCAGAACACCTAAGAGGGATGTCCTCCACGAAAGCCTCAACTGAAAGAGGTTTGTTTGGGTTAGTTTTGTCTGAAATGGCATCTTCAGCTTACCTGTGGTCCATGGGGTAGGTGCTGTCTGGTAGGGACTGAGAAGGAGGGAGGTGAGCTGGGAAGGCCCGGTCAGGTTTCGGAGTATGAGCTGTATTTGGAGATGCATGATGTAGTGGAGACACTGGAGTACTGGATGGTGTCGGGGGGTTGGAGGGCCTCATTCCCACGTGTGGCTTCTGATCATAGGCACTACCCAGAGAACAAGAGAAAGTACGGGTTGCTTCGGAGTAATTTTTAAAGATTCCTGTCCTCACAAAGAAAACGTATCTTAGCCATAAGTGATAAGGCAGCAAAAACCTTTGGATTTTGTTTTTTAATTCTATCACTTATAAACTTCAAAGTTCCTATGCCATTAAACAGAAATTAGAATATCAAGTCACAGATGACATGAACATTTGTAACATAAATTGTGTACACAGACAACTTAGTTAAGGAAGACCTTATGACGGAGAGACATCACCAGATGTCTATTCCCACCAGACAGCTTTCAGTAAGCTGGGCAGATCCTTCCTACATAACTAAGACCTCATCATGACTTTCAGTAGCTGGGCAGATCCCTTCCTACATAACTAAGACCTCATCATGACTTTCAGTAAGCTGGGCAGATCCTTCCTACATAACTAAGACCTCATCATGGCTCTCCCTCCATACTATTTTTTAAAATAAGTCCTAAAATTAGTTTAATAAGAGAGACCATATTGGATTTGCTTTTATTTGTGGTAGAATTTTCAGGCAATGCTATTGCCTTTGTAGATGTTTTATATTAAATAAATGATGTTTGGCCTTGAATTCCTCACTTGGGGTAATAAAGATTAATGGGGAAAATTAAAATGTCTTGGATATATTTAAAGTTTCTTTAATTATGAGTGCAAAATAAAATTATTAAGAATAAAATCCTATTATTTTAGACTAACTTCCACTCTCAATTACAAAAGCAAAAAAAAGTAAGCTGTTTGTTTTATATTATGAACTTAAATTGCTTCCCAATGTGTAGCTTTCTGGAATATGACTGAACTACTGTTTCCAATCTAGAAAATATCTTACTGAAATCAGATTTTACTTTCTGAACGACAACAAAAACATATTTCCATGCAAAGTGTCTAGATGTACTCTTCAAATATAAAAACTGTTGTGAGCTGAGTAAGGCAGTGTGTGCCTTTAACCACAGCAGAGGCAGAGAGTTTGCTGTGAGCCAACCAGATCTATAGACTGTGGTGCACAACCCAGACAATGCTACCCCATGAAATCCCATCTCATATACACCTCCCCCCCTCTATCTCTTTCACACACACACATATCACACTGATATATATATATATATATATATATATGTATATATATATATATATATATCTCAGTGGTATCAGTGATAGACATTTTGAAAGGAATACTTCTAGTCACATTAATGTATAATAACTTCCAGTTTCTCTATTAGTACAATAGAATTATATCCAAGTTTAAATACCCTTTCCAGAAGGGCAGGGGCATGTGCTATGTACATCTAGACCGGCTTTAAAGCAATCTGTACTCATATAAAGAACACTGGGAATGGAAATTGTGGAGGAGAAAAGAGAGGAACTGGAGGGGAGGAAATAGGGAAATAGAGGTAATTGAATATATTATACACATGCATGAAATTCCTATGTGTTGAGTTCTACAAGTGTTTTTATTGATATTTCTGAACAAAAATATACTCTTTCTTAAAGTGGTTTGGTCAAGTCTTTCCTATAAAAAAAGAAACAAATGACTAGTTAACCTAAGCTATTGCTTTCATCTCCTGTAAGGTGTTTTATTAAATCTTATTATTTAGATAAAGATGGAAGTACTAGAATGTTTTGTATGCACCATATATGCTGAGAGAGATGTTTGTTTCCACAAAACTTCTCCAAATTGTTGCCTAATTCCTAATTTTTGGGTCAGAGACACACTGTATCAAAGAGTGTTTTTATGGTCACTGTAATAATCAGGGCTGAATTGCAAAGAGAATCCTATATCTAACTTGTTCAGATTGTATCTTGACATTGAAATCATCCAATGTCAAGATAACTGTGATGGGAATACATGCCTTAAGAAGAAAATACAAACAACACAACCAAATTTTCAAACATGTTTTAGTGTCTTATATGAAGTCATCATGCGGTCATAGTTCACTTTTACAATAGATCTGCTTTATAAAATTTTGTAGTTCAACTGAGCTACCCCCTCATTTCAGGCTCCCATGAGTTTCTTAGGAAGTAAGATATAAAACAATAAATATCAAGAAGAAACAGGAACAAAGGACTCTAACATTGTCAGTTGCCATGAGATGGTACAATTTAATTTTCTTGAGTCTTAGACCCCACAGATGTGAAAGAGGGTGCGTAGTGGACATATTTGAAGCCACACAGGATTCCTCAGGATCCCAGGGCACTGTGGGCTCGAGCTGACACACCTTATAAAGGAGTGCACATATTTGGAATCGTTTTTCAAATATTCTCACACCACCTCCCTTTAAGAACTAAGTTTCTACTGTAATCAAGAGGAATAGTCAATAGCCAGAGCCAACTTTTTAGAATGCAATTAGAGGCCAAAATGAAGAGTAAGAGCGTGCAATTCACTGCAAAGAGTTTTTAATGAACATATGTGTAATCAAAATTTCTAGCGAATGAACAATGCACTTAGAATGCACCACCCTTTAGTATCATTTCAAGAACAACTGGCTTTTTAATAGATAATTGCCTTGGTTAGGCCTTATGAAATTCTAGTTTTATTGCAATTGTCCATGAATGTATCTTATAGATCATCAGTAAGGCCTATCAGATAACTAATGTATTGCTTTTGCTTGCCAAATGTTGTAGTTTTTTTCTGATAAACTCTTTACCTAAAGTAGATAATGCATTCATTCTGATGGGAACCTTCGAAAGCTGCTTGTGCCAAATAAGACCCTCTTTTCAAACCCAAGATGCATCAATACAGTAGGAAAACAACTGATGACTGAGATGAGAATTATTACTTTAAAATGATGCTAAAGTGTGCGATGGCATGGCAAATGGGACTTCAGAGTTCTGCTGCATACATTACCTAATTAGTTTATTATATCATAAAGATGTAACCCATAAAGCTGACTGGAGATTGTTGGATCGTTTCGTACTTTCTGTTCTGCACAGTATATCGCTGCTCTCCCTGAGAGCAGCGCTGCTTACCTGATGCTGTACAGGCACTTTTCTCCATAGCTGAATTTAAAAGGTTGCTCTTGACTGCAGGCAGACCCGAGTTCTGAACAGGGGCTGTGGGGTTCTTTCTTGATTTTCAGTGGTAGTCCATGAAAAGCCACTAAAAACAGAACAAAAGTACCCGTCAAGATTCAATTCCATTAGGAACTAAGTCTACTAGTCTCTTTTACTTCTCTTATTTAAAGTATCATTAACATTTCATAGTAACTTATGCTTTGATAATCCATGAGGCAGAAAGGATTCTGGGAGTTTTCTTGGCTCTGCCACTTTCTTTTCTACTTGTAGTGTGTAACAAAATGTATGCCTGTAATTTTTCTCTGCTTAAAGTAAATCAAATCAGTAGTAATTCACTTTGCTGATATTAACAATTCTACAAGCTTGGTTTTCAGAAAGGAAGCTTTGAAAACATGTCATAAAGATTTCGAATGACTACACAGGGGCAGGGAGGACTGGAACTCTTAGTCAAGGCTGGAGCACAGCTTTGGGCATTATTCAGTACCAATGCTTCAGTGTCAAGGATGTTGTGGCACGTGACAAAGAAAATCCAGGTCTTAGTCCAAAGGAAAGCCATAATAGTGCAGAGAAGATGAAAACCAACCTATTTAATATTGGTGGTTATTTTTAAACCAGAAACTAAAGGACTTGCTTATCTATTTACCAAAACTATGAAGATTAAAATACAATGCATGGAAATTCTTTATCACATGAAATTCTCAATAAAAGCTACTCTCCATCAAATGATGCTCTCCTTTTTCATATAATTTAGTTTGCAGCTATGTTTAAGGAAGGTTGCTGTTCATGTGCATTCATTTGTGCTTAATTTAATATAGATTATGTCATAAAATACACAGCTTAAGAAATCTATATACGTATATTCACATAAGTGTGTTTATTTTATGACTATAAAACCAAGTAATAAATTTCACTGTGCTTTCCAAAGTTTGATGAGCACTCAAGGGTTCACTATATAATTATTTCACTATTAAATGTCCGCAATAAAAAAATCTGATACCTGGAGAAAAATACCATAAAAGCACTCACATGTTCATCCAGTATATATGTGTGTTCGTCATTTCACTAAGTCATATAATAACAAATATGTATGTTGCAACATATTTATTTGAACCCTGGCAAAACTTTTTAATTATTTACTAGTTCTTTGAATACAGATAGAAAATGTAGGCACTCAATTTCTAACACTGTGAATTAAAACCTAGGTTTTACATGTTCTTAAATCAATTTGCCCTCAGAGAAGTAACATGAAGATCTGGGAACTCAGATTTAATCTCCATGAAAAAAAATAATGTGAAGACCTAAGATATTGTATTTCTACATTTTTCATACAAAACATATAAAAATAGTAATCAGTTTACAAAATACACTTAACCCAAAATAAAAAATTAACAAATTAAGTTTTACTAAAATTAAAATGGTCTCTTTAAAGGCAACATTAGAAGAACAAAGGACAAGCCATGAGCTCCATGATGCTCACACCAGAAAGAACTGACAAATAATGCTCATTTTACATGAAAGGAATTGTTGCTTAGCAATACAAATCTCTAACTGGAATGGACAAAAGACTTGGACAAGTGGTTCACACACACACAAAATGGAGTAGTAACAAACAAGTGAAAATGTAATCAAATATTTCTCAAGCAGGAAATTGCTAATAAAACCACAATTATCACCAGATATTCATTAGAAAAACTAAACTATGAAAGTTGACAATACTGATTTTTAAATAAAGAAAATAATGGGAACTCCCATTCATGCTGCTAAGGAGATGGGATGGTATAATCATCTCAGAAAAGGGTGTGACTACCTGCTAAGGTTCAACGTGAATATACCTTATGATCTGGTAATTACACTAATATATATTCTCATATGTGTGTATATGCATATAGGAAAAAGGAGTGCATGTGTTCCCCCAAAATACGTATATAGGACTGTTTGTGGGAGTTTTATTCATGAAAAGAAAACTAAAAATGCTTTAAATATTCACTGGTGGAGGTAAGTCAGTAACCTATGGCATCTGCAGGGAAATAACATTCTGAAATAGCAGGGAACCAAGTACCTTCCATCGGGTCCACAAACACAGATGCTCTCACAGCTATGGAGTTAAGCCCTGTAATTTCCAAAACAAAGCTAACTGAGAGGGGAAAGGTTTGCTTTCCTGTTTAGTGTGGTTTTGTTCAGAGGCTCAGCTAAATTACGTCTCTAAGGTGATCTGCAACTCCATGGCTAGCATCTTCACTCAAAGGGGAGAAGTGGACAAGACATATGGGTTTGGGAGAACAACATGTGAAGGCAGAGATCAAGTTGAGGATTTTGCAAACCAAGAAATGTCAAAGACTGGCAAGAAAGTGACAGAGATTAGGGAAAGAACTGTGGAGCGGATCCTTTCCCTTTTTTCTCAAAACCCTTTCTACACATCTCTCTGCCTCTGTAGCCTCCGAAAATCAAGAGAAGTCACACCTGCCTTTAAGTCACACAAAACATGACTTTTTGTTTTTACAGTCCAACCAAATTACTGCCCCATTCCCAGTCATTTTTGTAAGCAAGCTGGCTCTGTAATGATTTTATGTTACAAAAATTTCTAGTGTATTATCATCACTGGACAAACGCTGACTCCAAAGCGAGCCTTGGCAACACCAGAGTACCCTGCATTCAAATAGATCCAGCACTTGAGAAATGCACTGTAGGTCAGCTCTAGCAGTGGCGAGCTTCGATTCCAACTCTCTTTAAGGCTTCATTTTATGCGTGTGGAGCTGTTAATCGTTATGGACCAGGAATTAATGTTGTCTTTACTAGTCATATGCCAAATGGCTAATCGGAGAGATCTAAGGTGCCCAAGAATTTTTGTTTGGTTGGTTACGTTTGTTTTGGTGTTTTTTTTTTTTTGTTTGTTTGTTTGTTCTGTTTTTGTCCTCTTAATTTCTTCAGGTGAAGAATAAAACTTAAAGCCAAACTGAAGCCTTCAATTTTCTGCGCAAGAACATGGGGTTTCTCTTAAGTTCTTCAAGCTCGCCTGCCTGCCTACTGGGGATCCCACCTATGACTTCATATACACGATTTTTAAAATTTACTTTTGCCTGAGAGAGGCAGAGACTCCCAGTAGAGAGGGCTGAGCTAGAGGCTGGCTAGGAATATTTCATCAAAGGACTCGAGGCTTCGCGTCTGCTAATAGGAGGTTTTTTTTCCAGATCATTGGCACCAGCGCAAGAGAAAGCAGCACATTCATTTCGTGCAATTTGCTGTACCTTCCCACATGGAGTCGGTGCATGGAAAAGGCTGTTAAGTACTAAATTATTCCTTATCAAATCACCATCATCTGGAGTCATGATCAACACTAATTAAATTACTTTCGCTGAACTCGGCTCCAGCCTGCTGCTAAGACTGCTTACATTCCGCTTGCAGTGCGGTCCTCCCTGGGTCTGGAACACAGAGCTGCAGGCATCGGCATTGTTTGTAGTTTAATTAAAGTGAATCTTTCCTTTTTCAAGTGAATTAAATCAAGCGAGTTAGCCTCTTCATTTCATTGACAAAGAAATGATGTTTCAAAATGATACTTTATTTCCTGACTTCATAGAGGTCCAGTCATTGATCTAGGTCTGAAATTCACAGCTCACCTAGGCCGTTCTCAAACACGGTTCCCGTGAAACCCCGCAGCTCTAGCAATCAGTTCTTCTAGGGAGAGGCAGTCAGAACACTCAAGAGATGAGCCTTGCATTCTCTGCTTTGATGGAAGTTTGACCTTTGAAACCACATCTTAAGTCTGACTAATGATGGCTGAGTTTGTCTGATGGCTCAATTTAAGAGTTCCAAAATATCGGAACTTAAAAATACACACTTCCAAAATAAATTTAACTACTTCTTAATCTGACAGTTTACCAGGGGTTGTGGTATTCATTAGTAAGTGACTGATAATTTAGTAACTGTTTGCATTTTAGAAGTGTGAACTGTGAAACATGGCTTACTTCCTTTCATTTTCTACCTACATCTTAGAAAGGCAAACAATTCGATCACAGCACTAAAGAAGCAGCAAGAGTGGGAATACCACTTTAAAAAAATGTATCTTCGAGTATGCAAAAACACAATAGAAAATGACATGGCGGTAGAGAGAGTGGATTAAATTATCTCAGGAGAGTACTTTCCTAATCATGACAATACGACATCCTCGTAACCTTCCGCTGAGAACAGACCATGTGTGTTATAGTTATTGACTAAATGCTCATCCACAAATAGACAGAGTTAATGTGGACGGCTCGCTTTAGAATCTTGATGGGAAGCAGCATCCATGTTTGAAAATAACTCAAATTTATTTAGTATTTTATGCTCTTCAAAGAACCACTAAAACAGATTCTATTAGGACCATTCTGGTTTGGTAGATTTGGTTGTTGCTGTGGTTTTAAGGTTGGGAGTGCTCAGATGGTGAAGGCCGGGTGCCCAGTTAGAGGCATTATGGTAAAGGGAGGGGGCCTTTAGGTGGTGAGGCATGGTAGAAAGGTTGCTGGAGCGGGACTTCGAGGCACTGATGCTTCTTCTTCCAAGATGTAATAAGTCTCTGTGACATGATGCATTGCGCACTGCAAATAAGAAAAGCACAGCCAGCTGCCTAAAGTCTCTCAAGCCATTAGCCAAAATAAATCTTTCTACTTTTTAAGTTGATTTTATTGGGTATTTAGTCACAGAAATGGAAAGCTAACATTGTCGTAAAGAAGCTAAGCAAGCCGTCTCGGTAAAGATCTAAGACTCCACAGCAGCAGGTTAAGACTTAGAACCTTGTGCTGGAGAGATGACTCAGTGATGAAGAGAACCTGTTACTATTAGGGGACCTGGGTTCGATTCCCACCGACTACAGGATCTTTCATGACCATTTGCAGTAGATCACACGTCCTCTTCTGACTTTCCCAGGCACCAAGCATCTATGTTCACAGACATAATGGAGGCACAATATTCACACATAAAGCACAAATGAATATAAATCTAATTTAAAAATTTAGCTATTATTATATGCCTGTAATCCCAGCACTGGGAAGTAGACGTGAAAGATCAGATGTTTAAGGTCCTCAAGGCCAGCCTGGGCTGCAAGAAACCCTG